AGGTTGTATGCCTTATTTCCTTCGCTTAGACTTGTTGTATTTGAGACTTGTTAAGAACTCCAGTTTATTCATTTCAGACATTTACTTTGTATTTCTGCATGTTGGATGATGAAATATTATTTTGATCTCTATCATTTCATCAATTATCTCTCGTATTATCTTTTACTTGCTTTTGTACCTACACCTATTATTGACTCTACTAGAGTGATAGAATCATGATGGTGAAACATGTTATTGCACGGTGTGGTGCATGACAGCAAAGAAGAAAACAAAGAAAATTGACTTGTATTCCTTTGATTCTGATTACAATTTGATTTCCTGATTACAAAAGAGAAGAGAATGAATTTGATTCTCCCCTTTGTTTAATTCTGGGTTCTTCACGGTGGCGATGACATGCCTCCATCGATTGCTCGCGTCGAGTTTGCTTCTCGTTGACGATCCGACATCTTGTTTCACTGGAACATGATCTTCTCCTCACGATTTGACGTTGTGGAGAACTTGTGTGGCAAGTTTTAGAACTCTTGATGAGTTAATTGATCTTAACCGTAATTGGTTAGACCAGCTAAGGATCTCTTCTTTGCTGCCAAAAAGAAGGATGAAAGATCTAGCAGACCGAACCCTGAACTGAATTAATTTTAAGTTATTTATAGGGGATTAAGGGGTGTAACCACCTCCTTAATTCGCTCCTAAGTGGGGCTCATGGGATGTAACCGCCCCTTAAATCACTCTTGAGTAGAGTTGTGATCTCCTCAGATCGTGGAAAACAGTTTTGAAACTGTTCAGCTCGTGTTTGAAAAAGGAATTTTTTTTCAGATCCTCCAAGCCTATTCCTATTACAATTAGATCATCCAAATACTCTTCTAAATATAATTTTAATTCATGTGGATCTCATGTGGGCCTTATTTTGGGCTAGACCCATGACATTTCTTTCTTACCTAAATGCTGGTAAGTTGACAAAGCTTTTATAAAGTTGCATTTTAAATAGCTCATTTTTTCCAAGGTAAATGCATGTCGTATCGATTTTTCTTCAACCATCTCTATTTCAACTACATTTTACAGAGACCAATATATACACGGTTTTACAAAAAAAAACAATTATATCAATTTTATACAAAGCTCTTAGAATATTTAAACGTTGAAATTCATTTTGTGTATAAGTAGGGCTTGCGTTTTAGTTAGGAGAAGATGGGAAAGAGAAAAAGAGTACAAATCATATTAAAATCGTCCAACCAGAGCGCCTCTCTACCATACTTTTTACTCAAAAGATAAGGAACCATCCACTCGCATGCAGGTGGTTGTGATAGGATGTGAATTCCATACTTTTGTTTCTTATTGTCCATCATTATTTGGAATTTTTAGTCAAGTTGTAATTACTCAAAGAAAGATCAATATGACATTATGAGAAATCATATTAACCAAAAGAAAAAATTGAACTTATGATATCATATCCTTTAAAGATTGCGATCTCTACAAATTTTTTACCATTTGTGTGTGTGTGTGTGTGTATATATATATATATATATTTTAGCGGATATGGTTATAAAATTTTCTTACCGAGGTATATCCGTATCTGTATCCGTATCCGAGATGAGTAAGTTGATATGGATATGATAAGCATCATATCCGAGCCGTATCCGGACCGAATGCACCCCTATTACCAAGTATAGATTATTCAGTATCATGTAATAATCTTTGAGAAAATACTCTAAAAATAATATTAAATTATTTTTTAATTTATTTAATAATATAATACTAAATTAATAGTGTAATTCGTAATTTACCTGATATTATTAAAATAATTATACTATTTATGTGATTCAAAATTTATTCTATTTATTTTATTGCTTATCGAATTATAGTATATGTTGATATACTAGTGATCACACAGTCAATATGTATCCAGGGCAGGATAATTTTGATGAGGTAGAGGATATTGATGAGGGGATCCCCTTCTTCTCCGACTTTATGTCTGGTACTTAAATTGAGGTTGCTGAACAATCTGCACATGTAGAAACTTATGAGAGGATGGAGATTGGTTCCCCCGTTGTACCTCCAACGATCAAGTTAGATGATGAACTTGAGTGGAAGAGAAACAACAGAACTTAGAGTTATCCTTTTGTTTCTTTATTTTGGACTTTTCCCCCTTAAAGTGAATAGTACCTATATTTATATTGTGGGAGAAGGGCAGATCGAACATTTTGGATGAGTACGAAATAGTGATGGTGGTATGGGCTGATGGTTGTGTCAGCATCCTCTTTACGGGTGTCAGCAGGTAGTTGGGGGAAAACCACTTCAGCATTAGAGAGATCGTCTTAGCATTGAATAGATATTGATAGGCGGCATGACAGAGCCCATGTGATATGACAAGTCAGGGAGACTATTCGGGCTAGGGTCATGATGAGACTTGTCCAGTGTTGATCGTGGCGCTGACACGTGCTCAGGGAGAAAAGTCCGATGCAAATATTATCCTACAATTTGGCCGAAAAGTAACGCTCATAATTAGGCTCATTGCCGCGAAGTGCGCTTTCTGGAGTAGAAACGCAGTGTTTGGGCAGAGCCTCAAAAACGCAATCCTCGCGTCAGGCAAGGGATCAGCTTTCATATATATATATATATATATATATATATATATATATATATATATATATATATATATCATATTTTTTTTCTTAATAATGGATCTGTTATGCTCGCCATTGAATTCTAACTAGCTAATTGTTAGTTGAATCCTAGTGGAGGTTTTCTGACTAGCTACACCCTCTTCAAATTTTTTAGGGGACAATGAATATGTTATCTGATCTACCCTTTTAGTTCTTGTTCCTAATAAGTAATGAATACTTGCTTTGCTTTCACAAGAAAAGTTAGAAAGCACTGGGCCTCGCAAAATCTTAATTTCCCAGGAGGCCACTGCATCTCCACAACCTCTAGATTGTTCATGTTAAGTCCAGTTTGGTTCATGTTAAGTCCAGTTTGATTCGTGCTAAATCCAGTTTGGTTCGTGTTAAGTCCAGTTTAATCGTGTTAAGTTCAGTTTAAAATATTTTAAGTCTAATTTAAATCATTTGAAGTCTAATTTAAATCTTGTTAAGTCTAATTTAAATCATTTTAAGTCTTTAAATTAGACTTAACATGAAATCAGACTTAAAATAAAATAAAATAGACTTAACATGGATTATATGTTAAGTCATCTTAAGTCCAATTTTGCTTCATGTTAAGTCCAATTTGATTCATGTTAAATCTAATTTAATTCCTTTTAAGTCTAATTTTAATCCAGTTTAGTTCATGTTAAGTCCAATTTAGTTCATGTTAAGTCAAGTTTGATTCGTGTTAAGTCCAGTTTGATTCGTGTTAAATCCAGTTTTGTTTGTGTTAAGTCCAGTTTGATTCTTGTTAAATTCAGTTTAAATTATTTTAAGTCTAATTTAAATCATTTTAAGTCTAATTTAAATCTTGTTAAGTCAAATTTAAATCATTTTAAGTCTAATTTAAATTAAACTTAACATGAAATTAGACTTAAAATAAAATGAAATAGACTTAACATGGATTATATGTTAAGTCAAATTCGATTCATGTTAAGTCCAATTCGGTTCATGTTACGTCAAATTTAAATAATGTTAAGTCCAATTTAATTCATGTTAAGTCTAATTTGGTTCATATTAAGTCTAATTTAAATCATGTTAAGTCCAATTCGGTTTATATTAAGTTCAATTTAAATCATGTTAAGTCTAATTCAACTGATTTTAAGTCTAATTTTATAGTAAATCCAATTTAGTTCATGTTAAGTCTAATTTAATTTCTTTTAAGTCTAATTTAAATCATGTTATGTCTAATTCAACTTGTTTCAAGTCTAAAAACAAGTTAAATTAGACTTAATATGAATCACGTTAAGTCTAATTCAACTTATTTTAAGTCTAATTTCATATTAAGTCCAATTTAATTCATGTAAAGTCTAATTTAGTTCATGTTAAGTCTAATTCAGTTTATGTTAAGTCTAATTTAATTTCTTTTTAAGTCTAATTCTATTATTTTATGTCTAATTCAACTTATTTTAAGTCTAAAAACAAGTTGAATTAGACTTAACATGAATCATGTTAAGTCTATTTCAACTTATTTTAAGTCTAATTTCATGTTAAGTCAAATTTGATTCATATTGAGTCTAATTTCAATGATGTTAAATTTCTTTTAAGTCTAATTTGAATCATGTCAAGTCTAATTTTACTTTGTTTAAGTCTAATTTCAAGTTAAGTCCAATTAAATTAGACTTAAAATAAGTTGAATTAGACATAATATGATTTAAATTAGTCTTAAAAGGAATTAAATTAGACTTAATATGAATTAAATTGGACTTAACATGAAATTAGACTTAAAACAAGTTGAATTAGACTTAACATGAATTACATTAGGCTTGAAATAAGTTGAATTAGACATAAAATAATTTAAATTAGACTTAACATGAATAAAATTAAACTTAACATGAAATTAGACTTTCATGTTAAGTCTAATTCAACTTGCTTTTAGACTTAACATAAATTAGACTTAACATGAAAGCTTTTAGACTTAACATGAAAGAATAGAGGAGATAATGATATTTTGGATTTTTTTTGCATTTTATTCTCTCTCTATGCTTAGTTGACATGTAATAATTGCTAAAAGAGGGCCGCAGAACATATATTTTCAATTTAAGAGTTAAAACACGTGGAAGAAAGCCAAAGATGTTGCAGAGCACATGATGAGTTTGTTTTTTGTTTTTGGGCCTTTGCACAATTTTACCGAAAAGAAATTGGATCCCACATGTCGTTGATTCCAAAATCTGCCAAAACTCCATAATCAAAACCCTAATAACAATAATTATAGCCCCTGTACCCTTCTAATTCCCTATATATCAAGAAGAGCGGAAACTCAAACCCCTCTAAAAATCCCGGTATCTTCTCCTTCTCTCTGGAACAACTAGGGTTCCCCGAAAAAGGAGGGATTTACACAACTGGTGGTAGCTTGACAAAATGGACCTCACCGGCGACGGCGGAGGGAACTCTCTGTCGGCGGGCCCCGACGCAACGAAGCGCAAAGTCTGCTACTTTTACGATCCCGAGGTGGGCAACTACTACTACGGCCAAGGCCACCCAATGAAACCCCATCGGATCCGGATGACCCACGCTCTCTTGGCCCATTACGGCCTTCTCCACTCCATGCAGGTTCGACTCCAATCCAGTTCCAAGTTAGTTCGTTTTTTCGAATTATTATCTGATTAAAGAAATATTTTCATTTTTGCTATTTCTGTAAGTAAAATTTAATTTCAAAGTTGAAACTTTGCTTGGGTAAAGTAATCGATTTGGGACTAACATCATCTGTATAATAAGACGAGTTATATTTTGATAAGCAAACAATGCGTTGGGTAAAATTTTGATCTTTCATGAACCAAATACTGAAGAAGTATTTGTTTTACTGTTAAATAGACTACCCAATGAAATATAATAGTTAGAGGAACAATTAATTAATTATTTGGTTTGTTACCACCCCCGACGTGATTATGCAGGTCTTCAAGCCCAACCCGGCACGTGACCGTGATCTCTGCCGTTTCCATGCCGACGATTATGTCTCCTTCCTCCGATCGATCACTCCCGAGACCCAACAAGATCAGATGAGGGCTTTGAAGAGGTTCAATGTTGGTGAAGATTGTCCTGTGTTTGATGGGCTTTATAATTTTTGTCAGACTTATGCTGGGGGCTCTATGGGTGGAGCTGTGAAGCTCAATCATGGGCATGATATCGCGATTAATTGGGCTGGAGGGTTGCATCATGCGAAGAAGTGTGAGGCATCAGGGTTTTGTTATGTGAATGATATTGTTCTTGCGATTTTGGAGTTGCTTAAGCAGCATGAGGTATTGAAAAAGTTCTAACCTTTTCTATTTTGGCTGAATGATTTGGCTGATTTATCTTAATGAGCCTGCTTCTTGATTACGTCTAAACTTGGGGTTTTGGGAAAATATTATGTTTGATAGTTATTACATTGACAGTAGATGTCTAGTAAAGCCATAAGCAGCCTTTAATTGTGTCAAATTATGTATATTTGTGAAGTGGTTTGCCTAACTGTTATCTTTTAAAAGGAAAAGGCCACAAGTTTACGTTGAAGCTCCCACCATAAATAGGGAAAATAAAGCTAATATGAATGGAGAAACAACTCAATGAGAGCAGGAACTTTTACTGACTGGTTTACCTGCTGCGTCATATGGGTCGAATTGAACCTATGTGCTAGTAGTTTCCATTTCATAATGTTTCGTAATAAGCTTATAAGAAGCTTGCAATAAGTCAAAACTAAGAATCTCTCATAATGAAGTGTCATATTACATGAACTAAGGTCACTTGGTGCTGTGTCGAAACTTATTACTGAAAATCTTTTGGATAGTTATGATTCCAAGTTTTAAATAT